CAGCTCCCCTCCCCAGCCCATGGCCACTTTCAGCCCGTGGGCAGGAGTGGGGAGGGAAATCGTGTCCCCTTCCTGGGTGTCACAGCTCTGGGGGGGCTCTGAGACCCCCTTGCAAAGCTGGGGGAGCTCAGCCGTGTCTCCGTCCCAGCCCCCCCCCCGGTGCAATTCAATAAGGGGATGGCAATCCAAGCGTTGGACCTGGGAGGTTTCTGGCTCATGGGCTCCGTGTGGGGATTTGGGGGTGGAGGGGGTGGTGGTTTTGGCTGTGCAGGCACAGACACAGACGGACGGCTGGGTGCATCTACCCAGGGATGGGTGGGTCGGTGGGTCCATGGAGGTGGGACTGTCCAGGGATCAGCAGGTGGAAGAAGGGATGGGTGGATGGATAGGGATCTGGAAGGATGGGTGACTGGCTGGGTCTGTCCTGGGATGGATGGATGGATGGATGGATGGACATCCAGAAGGGTGGGTGACTATCTAGAAGCATGGGTAGATGGCTGGGTCTGGCTGGTGATGGATGGATGGATGGATGGATGGAAGGAAGGATGGACGGATGAAGGATGGATGGATGGATGGATGGAAGGATGGATGGAAGGACAGGCTGATGGGTGTCTAGGAGGGTGCACGGATGGATGGGTCTGGCTAGAGATGGCTCGATGAAGGAAGGGACGGACAGATGTCCAGGAGGGACTGATAGGTGTCCAGGGGGATGGGTGGTGGCCAGGTCTGGCCAAGGATGGAGATAGGTGGATGAGTGGAGATGTAGAAGGAGGGGTGAGTGGTTGGGTGTGGCCAGGGACAGGCGGGCAGGTGGGTACGTAGGCATGGGCATGGCTGGATGGGATGGCCAGAGCTGGGTGGCCGAAGGACAGATGGATCTACCTCCTCCGGGAGGTGTGGAGTTGGGTGAAGAAGTGGCTCCATGGGTTTATCCGCATCGGCCGGATCCCGGGTCGCCATCCCCGCTGCTGCCCCAGAGCCACCCTTCCTGACGCACCAAAGACAACGAAACAAAGACAAAAATGAACCCCGTGAACCTCCAAATCCCTGCCTGCAGGTGCCAGGTGCCACGTGCCGTCTCGGCCCAGCGCCCGCTGCTCTTGCGTGGGGCAAGCCCGGTCCTGACCGGCCGCCCGTGCCGCTGCCGTGCCCTTCTACATCCCCTGTCCCGGCCCTCCCCGCTGCCAGCGTGCTGCCAAAAAACCTGCTTGAGATCCGGAGCAGCAGGTGGAGAGATAACACAGCGTGGCGTGGCACAGCACGGCACGGCAGGGACTCTGCATGGGTGACCTGATCCTGACCTGGGGGGGGATCAGGTCCTTGGTCCAGTGGCTCAAGGAGCAACCAGGGTTTTATCCAGAAACATGCTCAACGTTTCATTTTTTGGTGGGTTTTTCCCCATTTTGAGGGCAGGGTTTTGTACAGAAGGCAGGAGGTCACAGAGAGCAGGGACTGGTGGAGCTGGCTCGGGGCTTGGGGACACAGGCTTGGGGATGTGGGCTGGTGACACGGTGCTGGGGACATGGGCTTGGGGATGCTGGCTTGGGGTCGTAGGTTGGGGACCTGGGGACATGGGTTGGAGATGCAGACTTGGGGACATGGGCATGGGGACACAGACTTGGGGGTGTAGATTGGGGACGTGGGGCTGGGGAAGGGTTTGGGCTCATAGGATTGGGGACGTGGGGCTGGGGAAGGGTTTGGGGTCATAGGATTGGGGACGTGGGGCTGGGGAAGGGTTTGGGGTCATAGGATTGGAGACGTGGGCTGGGGAAGGGTTTGGGGTCATAGGATT